TGCAAGTGGCTCAGGACTTTGCTTTGCGACATTACTTGGGGTGGCCTATGTTCAGCGGTGGACTTGTGAAAGGCTAATTAATAAAAAAAAAACTAAGGTAAAATATTCTATAATCACCGCAATACCAATAATCCAAAATAGCGCCGAAGGTTTTAAAGTTGGTAAGGTATTAACACGACAGATACAATCGTGTCTGGTCTTGAAGCACGAGCTAACTCCGCCACTAGAAAGTCTTGTGTTCCTCCAATCTTTGTTCAACTGTCAACTTCACGACTGGCTTTAGCTAGTTTGTAAACTTTGCCTTTCTATAGCAACGGCTACTTAAATATTATTTTATTATAATACCATTCATGCACTGTTAATGTAGAATATTTTTATTCAGTCCTCAGTAGAACATCATCATTACTCTCCACGTTTACACGAACGTAGAAAACATGGATTTTAAATTTTTTATCGACTGTTTTCGTTTATTGCTTACACCTAAAACAAGTTCTGAGAATTGTTTACATAAACTTGTAGAAAACTTGTCAAAAATATTTTTATGTTTGAAACATATTTATAACGTGCCTTATTGTACGTTGTTGTATTTTTACAATACTTATATTGTATTGAAATATGTTTCCAATGTGCAAAGACACATTAAATATATTTCGACACCAGCAATTTATACTAAGCTAACTCATAAAAGTGAACTTTACAGTAAAGGCATATGAAGGGAAAAACGTGATAACTTTTATATTAATTAAGACACTTATTTGAAATTTGGTATGCTTAATATTTAATTTATTCGTCGTAATTTCCCATATTTATTTTTCCTTAATTATTTATATTCTTTGATTTAGCGCAAATTAGCCGTATATACACGTAATTCCTCAATAAGATTTTACATATTACACACGTCTAACTAATGTTAGCGTAGAGTATTACGGGAGATCGTAGTGCTAAAGAAGTGTTATATCTTTTGCTTTGCAATCATAATTGTAAAGTATATTATGCATTAATTATAACCTTTGGTTTTTATATATATTCACAAGCTATATAATTATAAATTCTTATGCTAAATAACAAGTTATTAAAGTTAGCTTTATTTAACCGGTACATGCATCACTGGCGCATATCGTATTAAAAGCCGTCAAATTATATATAGCGTACTATACATCGACGTTAGCATATCATTTTTAACTTTCCGTTGAGCTATAATACATGTAGATTTTTATAAATTCTTGATTAATTCTGCTGATAATATTATTTTTTGTAGGTAAATATATAATTAAAACAAAAATAGTAATCAACTGTTTATTTAAATTTCAGGTAAGTAAGTACTAATTAATTATTAACGATAAGAGATCGGATTAATCACAGTTCCACTTCGTATATTATATTTAAATCAAGATTGCACATAATTGTTATTCTTAATAAAAAACAAAAACTTCTAAGTGGTAAATATAAATCAAATAATTTAAACAGTATGTTGTAATCATTACGTACTTATAATCATTCAAACCTCATCATCAGTTACATTCTTCTCATCATATTCAGTTGTTAATAAATTCCTGTAAAATGTATGATAATTTTCGGGTATAATATTATTATCACAGTACAGTACTTTAAATCTTTATATTTTGCTACATGAATTTTTAACAAAGTTTTGTATGCTTTTTCGGGAAAAGGCTCCAAGTGGAATAATCTAGTAGATGTCTTTTTAAAACATTGTATTTGATTGCTTTCTTTATCATCTAAACTATACTTATATTCCAACAACCCGTAATTATCGGGAGAAACTTCAATTTTTTTTTACTTTATTCCATATAACTTTATCGTTATTTAAATTTTTAGTCCAATTTTTTTGCTAATATTACTTTTAAAATCAAATATGTTTTGATTAACCTCGATAACATTATGTGGATTCCCATTGACCTTTGCCCATCGTACTAGTGAATACCACTCATCCGGCGAATATACCTCTCTACCTCTTGCAGTTTCTTCTATCACAGCGTGAACTGAATCTCCTTCATTCTGTGTATGGCCCTTTTCCATAAAATGGTGGCTTATCTTCATTTTAAAATTTTTAGCAGCTAATAAGTACATATAGTAAACAATACGGTTACGATTTTGTCTCCCACAGTTGTCTGACCATAGATTGACTTCGTGAACTCCTTTAGAAGCTAATTTAATAAGAAAATCGTATAAACAACTAGCCACTTCATAAGCCCCCCTCTTAGCCGTTTGCTCATCCCACATATAACAAAACGCTTCTTTTGATCCCATATTGTAAATTGTAAAATTATATACATTGAGCTTACGCCTATAGTAATACACACTTATATTACCATGTGGTGAGCTTAAAACTTTTTGAAAATCAAATACAATACAAACTACTTTGTTACTAGAGACAGCTAACAGCTTACATTCTAATTTTAATTTACGGGAAATTTCTTTTTTTGTTTGATGTTTTGTGAAGTTTTCTTTCAATTCATCTGTAGGGCTAGATGTATTTTTGTACTGATGACAGATATCGCATTGGTCTTTTTTTGGTAAATAAAAACCTATCTTGAAATTAGTATTAACAACATCTATATACTGTCTTACTGTCTGTACTCTAACATTATAATTATTATCAGAACACCATCCATGATACAACTTAAACATTTTAGAAAAAGATAAAGAAGGTTCTAAGTATTTTTTACTCGTACGTTTTCTAACGTAGTGAGATAATAATAATAATAATCTTTATTTGCAAGAATATGGTTGTACAATGGTGTTTGAGTATAATTCGTTCTACATATTCTACCTTAGTGCTGTGCAAATATTAACGGTCAAGTAACCTAAACAACAACACTTATCGAATTTAACAAAATATATTAATTTAAAAAAATATAAAATTATTTAATATTATTTAGTTGATTTGATAATTAATTTATTATGCCACAGTGTCAGAAAATGCCATCAAATATATAAGTAAGTATTATTATGTCAAGTAAGATTATTATTATAGGTCAATGTCATATATTAATTATTATTCTTATGTCAATAATTAAATAATGTTACATATCCAATTGTCATTAATTTCTTTCTATTTTTACATCAAATTTATTAATTAATTAAATACATAAGTCAAATTTTATATAAAATAATATCAAAAACATTATTTTTTTAAACATTGGAATCTTGTAATTATGTAATTAATCATATTCTAAAATTATCATTCATTACTCGTATGTAGGTCGTTGTCGTTTAAGAACTCTTCTACAGAATAATAACATTTAGTGAGCAACAATGCCAAAACAGATTTCTTATATGACAATAAACTTTTACGCTTAAAATTATCAGGTTATTTATTATAAATTCTTATCGACATTGCAGAAGCATTTCTTTTTGTAACTTTTAGACGATTTGCTGGTGCATATAACCTATTCTTGTATCTACCCTTACTTTCACTCACTTCACACTTACGTTGAAATAAATGTGGATGCTTATGAACAAATTGATGAGATTCAACAGGGGTGAAAGAATTAACGTGATCTATGACACTCTGTTTCATTTCATTTGAATAGTTATGGTTTTTATGCCGAACTCTGTCGTCAGTTACATGAGTAAAATCATTGTTTTCTTCGATTTTTCATATTGCAGTATACACAAAATCTTTACTAATATCAAAAGTGTTCAAGAACATTGTTTTGCAAACTTTTTGTAATATGATACCATTGTCAGAATTTATAGGAAGGAGATAATGCAAAGTGTGTGATCGACGACTAGATTCGCTTTCAACATTAGTGGCAGTCTTTTTACTTTTTTGTATTACATATTTGGCAATGATTTGCCATTGTTTTGCGTGATCACCAGTATCCCAAAACTTATCAAAAAGGTCAATACGAACTTCTTGGCTTATTTTTTTATATCATTGCAGACGACAATTGACACAACTGACTTTAATGCTTCTTGGTGCTTTAGTTTTCCATTTTGACGTAGTATACTGCAATCCTTTGTTACACAAACGTTTTCTCTTTCTACTTATCCACTCATCTTTAAGTTTAAGACGTTTGAGACCCACATCAGTTCTTTTTTTAGATCTACGTTTATTATTTTTTGAGGTCGATACTGCAGAATAGTTACTATAATTAAACGTTGCAGGCGAGGAAATTGAATTACAGGGAGTAGATATTGCCGATACTGAATCTGTGTTATTGCTGAGGCAGTTAACCATATGCGAATCGGGAAGACTTTCCTGGAAGGACGTACTGATTTCTGGTGTGAGTGTTCTATCTTCGGTTTCTTGGCAAGAAGTCGGCACTAAAGTACCGTTTAAACTTTGTGAAGATTCCGAAAAATCACTATAAGGTGAAGGTACGGGGGTATTATCTATGCTGTCAGAAGGATCATTAGAGACGAATGAAAACAAAGGTGGTCGATAATTGGTGGAGTTAATGTCAATGGAGAAGGATTTTGGGTTGAAGTATACATTTGGTGAATAAATATTAAGTGGAGTTTTAAGAGCCCCAAGTTATTCAAATTTATATCTTGTAATACTACATCATTTTTGTAATTTTCTATATCTCGGCTTGCAGAACTGACTATAGAATAATCATGCTCTTGAATAGGCTCTTCAAACATGACGTGATTATACAAAACCACGAATTCAGGATTATCAACTTCAGCAGGTAATTGCGAGGATTCTATAACAATAGGGATAATGTGTTAAAATCATATGAATATTATTGTAAAAAACATGTACATTAAAAATATACTCAAGGTACCATCAATAAACTAATTAACACTCGTTTTTACATAAGTATTTACAACGGTAAAGTCGCTAAGTAGTGCATTTTACAAACGAACAAGTATACACGAACGCACTAAACTACGCTGACTAAGTGTTAGCGTAGTGTTACACGGATTCTGAGCTAAGCGGCTCAAATTTTCAAAAAACGTGGCGTATTACTATAAAACATAATTATATACTTTGACCTACACTGTAACCCTTAATAACACATTAAACTTACCTCTCTCCTCAGTATGAAGTGGTATCTCACAATTTTTATCAAAACTCTTCAATGAATTTTTCTCCTTTTTGGCTAAATCCACTAAATATTTAGCTCGTTTTCGTGACATTTTTGTATTAATAAATTAACACTAACAATATTTTAAATAACTAACGTTAGATGAATTATAATTTACTAATAAAGTTTTTAAAACCGCGCAATCACATCTAACACAACGACAAGTGTCGTTAGATTAATGTAAACAAACAAGCGGTGCGTGCCCCTCTCGTGCACACTCCGCTAATAATAGTTAGCGTAATTTAAATTGAGTGATTTCGAAAAGTACCTTTACCTAGCGTTGTATAAGATTTGTAACTTCGTTATTTTTGTATATTTCTTCACGATTTTTTTATTATATAGAAAAATAGACATTTTAAGCAACTTGGCATAAAAAAACGAATTTCCCTAAAATTCGAGTTAGCGTAGCGTAGTTCGAATTGTTGGTGTCGATTTTATAGTCTAGTCTGAAACACAGTTTAAAATGAAATATTTGCGATTTCTGTTATCTCTGTTATAGAAGAACATAAGTTTCTCTGCGTGAAAAATTTAGAAATAAGGACATCAGCAGTAGAACCAGAATAATAGACATATTCCAAAGTAACAGTAAGCTGAAGGGGCAATGGGCCGGCTATATAGCTCCATTGGTTCTTCGATTGACGAAGAACAGATAGGTAAGGAGGAACCTCTAATAGGTGGACGACCTGGTGAGAAATGCAAGAAGTCGATGGATTCAGGTAGCTCAGAAGCATTCTTTGTGGCATTCCTTGTGGGAGGCCTTTGTTTAGCCGTGTACTTGTAATGGGCTGTAACGATTATAAAAAGAGCATACAGTGAAATTCTGAACCTACTCCTTTTCTTGAAGTTGGTTAAACACTTTGAAAAATTAATAAAACTATGTTTATGTGTATTATTTTCCACATCATGTTTAATAATCAGTGTATTATTTTATATTAAAATATCATGATAAAAAGCAATGCATTATATCAATGCTTGATATTAATGACTGGCTTAACCGAGGCAGATAGTAAAATAAACTGCAAAGCTTTCAATATAAATCGTGTTTGAATGTTCACAAATTTTTTTAATTCCTCAAATTATTGTGATTATCGAATAGTTCAGCATTTTATCTATACATATAAATGAAATTGATGTGTCAGTCTGTATATATCGCAATAACTGGCTTTTATTAAGCCCGGGGTTTATTTGCATGTAATGAAGGTAAACATAATAACTCCATATAAATACTACAGAATGTATTATGTATAGTATATTAATTATAATGTATAGTGTTATTAATTAATCTTAATAACCACGAATTTAAGAAAATCCTAAAACAAACTCTTAACGGCTTGAATTACAATGCGACTGATGATTTGTACTCGAAGATCACTTAATAACACACACAACACACACACGCACACGCGCACACGCGCACACACGCACACACGCACACACACACACACACACACACACACACACACACACACACACACGCACGCACGCACGCACGCACGCACGCACACTCAACTTGGCGCGCAACTTGGCCTTAGAATAGAATTAGTACCATATTATTACTTTTTATATGTTTTTTTATAGGATAAGGGTGACAAACGGGCGTACAGTCCACCTGATGGTAAGTGGTTGCTGCGGCCCATAGACATCTACATCTATCCTCTATTACAAATCAAAATGTAGATGCGTTGCCACCCGTGATTACCAAGATGGAATGCCTCATTTCCAGTACAATGAGCCTCCGGCTACTTGCACTTGCCAAGCGAAACGCAGAGGTAAACCTCTACTTCACGCTGGTTTTCTGTGAGGTCGTGGTACCACCCCGGTTCGAGCCGGCCCATTCGTGCGACAGCAAAAGCTGCCGCGTGGCTCTACCACTGTTAATATTATTTTTATTATTTCTTTACAATACTAATATACATTATAATACTTTGACAATAGATGGGGAATTCTGAGGCCTGTAGCACAGTTTTAACTAATGCAGGCTTCAGAGCTCTAAAATAACTGTAACTATAATGTAATGTATGTTAAATAAATTTCATTTCAACTTTCATTTCATTTCATTTCAAATTTCATTCTATCCAGGGAAAGCCGCGGCAGGTCGCTAGTATTATATATTCTCGTGGGTAGAGTCACCTTTACATATTATTTGCAATTCCTTTTGAAAATTGAATGTAGAAAATCATTATTTAGAGCTTCAAACACAATGGCATTTCCTACTCAAACGTAAAGGGACGATGCGCGATTATAAAGAACGCCGAAAATGGATATCAAAAAGGAAATGTAATGATGAAAGCATTGTGGGCTATGATGAAATTATTACGAACAGGAATAAAGATAACGATGTAAGCGGAATGAAATTAATTTTCTCTTATGAAATTGAAGTGACGAACGAACTCACAGTCCACATTTATATGCGATAGAGCAACGCTACGGTTATGCTATGGTTGAAGCACGAATTGCTTGGCTTGACCGGGGTAGGACCACGCTCTTACAGAATTTTTTCTCACATAAATTCATGCTGCTGTGTTTTGTATGGTGAGTATAGAGATGCCAAGACCCGTTTTTACTGAAAACGAAGCATTCCATTTTAGTCCTCAAGTAGTGAGTCATCAGTATAATATCAAGAAGTGAGACATCATTATAATAACTGGAAGCGAGGCATCGGTATAATAACAGAAAGTGAGGCATAAGTATAATATCAGGAAGTGAGACATCAGTATAATAACAGGAAGCGAGGCATCGGTATAATAACAGAAAGTGAGGCGTAAGTATAATATCAGGAAGTGAGACATCAGTATAATAACAAGAAGCAAGGTATCGGTATAATAACAGAAAGTGAAGCATCAGTATAATATCAGGAAGTGAGACATCAGTATAATAACAGGAAGCGAGGCATCGGTATAATAACAGAAAGTGAGGTATCAGTATAATATCAGGAAGTGAGACATCAGTATAATAACAGGAAGCGAGGCATCGGTATAATAACAGAAAGTGAGGCATCAGTATAATAACAGAAAGTGGGGCATCAGTATAATATCAGGAAGTGAGACATCAATATAATAATCATAATCATAAATCATAAATCTTTATTTGCAAGAATCACGGTATAAAAAGATGTTACAATTTATATAGTGCAGTCGTGTTTCGCTAATAATAGCATGCAAATTATAATTTTAAAATGTTTATACAATATTAATAATTATTTAAATCTAAAAAATCTTTTAAGTCGTAAATGCATTCAATTTTTAACCAATCATACAAATGTTTCTTATATAGTCTTTCGCTTAATAATTTAAATTCTTTAGGTATTTTATTATATATTTTTACACACATATTAAGGCAGCTTTTGTTATATTTAACGAGCCTAGGAATAACATCTAGGACAAGTTTGTCTGGGTCACGTCGGTTTCGAGGATATATATCACTTGCTTTAACAAATAATGACTTATTTTTAAAAACGAACAAGCCAGTTTCATAAATGTATAGTGACGGGAGGGGTAATATACCAAGTCTTTTAAATAGCGGTCTACAGGATTCTCTTGGTGATATTCCGCATATTGCACGAATACATTTTTTTTGGGCAACGAATGCTCTATTTCGGTCAGTACCATTACCCCATATAATAAGTCCATAGCGTAAAATAGACTCTACGTATGCGTGGTAAGTTGCAATTGCTGTTTTAATATTTGTAATGTTTTTGACTTGTTTAAGGACATATACAAACTTATTAATTCTACTGCATACGTTATCAATTTGTTCTTTCCAGTTTATATTTTCATCTAACGTTATTCCCAGAAATTTTGTACATGTAGCTTCTTTTGGTTTTGGTATATTAAATTTCATATTATGATTGGAATTGATAGATTTATTAAATTGTATGTAGTAAGATTTATCTAGATTAATTTTCAAATTATTTATGTCAAGCCATTCTATTAATGTGTCAATTGTATTATTAATGTCATCTTCATGATTTCTAATTGTATTATTATTTTTATTACATGTCACAATAATTGAAATGTCATCAGCGTATAGAATACATTTATGATTCGTGATGTCAACAATGTCATTAATATATAATAGGAAAAGAATCGGTCCTAATATACTTCCTTGCGGAACACCGAATTTATTATATTTATATCCAGATGAATAAGATGTCAAGTTATTGTTTTTATCTATTTTATCAATGATAACACATTGTTGTCTACCATTTAAGTATGACGATAACCACTGAAGTACTAGTCCTCTGATCCCTACTGTCTCTAATTTTTGCAATAATATATCATGTGCAACAAAATCAAAGGCCTTTGAGAGGTCAAAGAATAATCCTGTTGTCAATTGTCTATAGTTTATGTAACTAAGTATTGTTTTTACTAAAGAAAACATGGCAAGTGAGGTCGATTTGTGTTTTTGAAACCCGTATTGTTCGCTTTTAATTATCTGGTATTTATCACAGTAATCAACTATTCTTTTATACATACATTTTTCAAAAATTTTGGCCAAAATAGGTATCAAGGTGATTGGACGATAATTTTGAATATCATCCTTTCTCCCTTTTTTAAATAAAGGTTTTATGATTGAAAACTTTAGTGCTTCTGGGAATTTTGCTGATGAGAATGATAAATTAATAAGATGTGTCAAAATTTTGGATAAATTGTCAGCGCATGATTTTAAAATTTTCGTGTTAATTTCGTCATATCCCTCTGAGTTTGTATTGTTTAATGATAATATTTCCATTTTTACTTCACTTTCTGTCATAGGTTTTAAGTACATTGAATTCACTTTCGAGTTTCTACTTAAATCGTAGTTTACATTCAAATTTTTTGTTGAGGTGTGATTTGTGGCCGTATCTATAAAATAATCATTAAAAGCAGTAGCTATTTCTATGGGATTTGATAATACGTTATTTCCAACTTTAATGGTGTCTATATTATCCTTAAAGTTCAGATTATGAATTTCATTTTTAATAATTCTCCATGCTGCCTTGCATTTGTTATTACTATTATTTATATATTTAATATTATCAATTTGTTTGGATTTATAAATACATTTCTTTAA